CCCTTGAATTTGATCATGGACTCGTCCACAGACAAGAATTCTGAAGGATTATTTACCGTGGAAAATTGTTCATTAAGTTTTTCAATATACGGTCTGAATAACTTGTCGTGCTTATTTTCATTCAATTTTGCATTGTCGTTTAGATGCAGACATCCTAGAATTTCAACAAAACGGTCACAAGACATTGCTGCTTGGATGATAGGTACCTACACTTATATCTTGAGATGAGACCAATAATGTCAGAGCTGATTTCTTCTATTGTAGCCCATCACAATGTTGATTCCAATGAATACTTTTATTTCATTTTTTGTCACAGAAGCATGCTTCCCCTTTTGTACACTTTTCAAATTAGTCTGGAAGTGAATCAAATCATGAAGATCCTCGTCAAAAAATGCAAAAAAAAAACATCGAGGTCACATGCAAATTCATTATTTAGTTTGGGATGCACGATAAACTCATGGACAATTGATTTTTCTTCTTTTCTTTTTCCATTTTTGTGGATGTACACCTATCACAGGAGTCTCGGAAGCTGCATCAGTAGGTAAAAACTTGGCTTGTTCATCCAATTCAATGATAATGGATTCTTCTTTAGCATCCGCATCTAATCTGTTCACTATATGAATGGTTTCTGTGGGGTCTCGATCATCAGGCTCAATGTTGGTATCTTTGTCAATGTCAGTACCTATCAATTTCGTCCAACAGATGAAGTATTTCATTGGCTTCCAATGATCGATTGGCCATGTTTCAGTAAGAAGTGCTCAAGTCTGAAAATAAAATAAGTTACAAAATGAAAGTGTCGTGGTGTAGAAAAATGAATAAAAAATCCATGGGACCAGTAAGAATTGGAATTCTCAGTAGTATTCCTACCTAGTAACACAAACGACATGCGACTCCTACTAGGACCATCAGGTCCCGGTTTTCCTGGCGGGACTTGCAGGTGCAGCAGGTCGTTTCCCTAATTTCTATTATTTTCATCAAAAACAGTTTTCCAAATACATATATTTATTATATTTTGTTAGAATATAAATTTTTACACAAAATAAAACAAAAAGTAAGGAAATCCATGTTGAATATAAACAGTTATGATGGAATATTCTGAGAGAAAAAGGAAACTTACTGTCATTCTCAGCCAGCTGATGCAATTGACTTAGGAATCTCACTGGGTGAGCCAGTTGCCAATTAGTAATTTTCTTGAAGTGTGAAAAGGAACGTAGAAGTCCCATTAGGTACCAGGACCTAAAATTCCTTGTTGTATGTATTTTAGAGCATGAATCTTGAGGTGGGACTTGTGAGTCCTGTCAGTGGGGAAAGGGTTAAGAGAATAAGAGTTAAGAGTAATATTGAGATTGGGTTGATGGGCTGAGTCTAAGTACTGGCTTTAGCCTTTTAGGACAGTTTAGGTTAAGGCTTAGAGAATACAGAGAGAGATGTGACCCAGAGAGAACCAAGCCACTAGGGTAAAGGTAAATGTACCATATTCCGACGACTGACACTCAGACACTGTGGGTAATTCTGACACCCCTCGACTTTTTCCTTTATATTAAGCTTTGTCTTAGTTCCACGCATGCGTAGATGGTTGAAGTAGTGATGTCATACTATTGCGCACCAGATTTCTGCAAAACACTAGGTCTAGCAGGAAAATGTTAAGATCAGCAGAGCAAAACTCCAAGTCAGCCAGTGAGAACATTGAAACACATGTGAAAGTAGATACTTGATAGTTTACCTTGCTTTACTAAATAGTGATCAACTGTTTGTGTAGAAAGAATATTATGGTTTGAGACTTTTGAATATGTCTGAATATATTGATAATCCTTTAAGTATTTTTGTATTTGCTAATTTTAAGTGGTAAATAAATTAATAAATGATTGATATAAGATACGGTTTTAGACTTTTAGACACATAAAAACTAATTCCAACATGGTGTCAGAATTGCAACACACAGCCATGACACAAGGTGTTGTATTCTGACACAGCTCACACAGGGTGTTGGAATTCTAACACAAGGGTGTCAGAATTATGAATTACGATTTTGAAGCGCTGTCGGAATTAGTCTCACAATATGCCGCATTTAGAGTAAACATGGTATATTTCGACACATTAAGGACGTAGCAAAAATGAATGGCTATAAAAAAATCACCATATGCGCAACTTGAGTTCTGTTTGCTTTGTGTCACTCTCAAAACACCGCACTACGCGCCAGCAACAATGAGACGCCACAAACTGTTGCCATATTTATTTAAAAGCCTATAGAATGCAAACCTACCAAATCCATATATTCCGACGCTGTGTGACTAAATTCGGCATTTTGGGAGACTAATTCCGGCTGCACTTTAAACTCTACTAATTGGAATTCCGACCCTCTTGTGTTTGAATTCCGATGGCTGTGTGAGCTGTATTGGAATACGACTCAGCTCGGAATTAGAACACTATTGAATATTGAACACTACTTAATTAGGCTTTTAATTAAGAGCTATTAAGCTTTTAATTAAGAAAATTTTAATTTTTGCACAGCTCGGAGCGAGTTGTGTGTGTCTAATTCCAAGCTGTGTCAGAATTAGTTTTTATGTTTCTAAAACCGTCTCTTAACTTAATCATCTATTAATTTATTTACCACTCGAAATCAGCAAATACAAGTATACTTGAAGGATTCCTAATATATTCACAGACTTATTTAAAAGTCTCAAACCATAATATTCTTTCTACACAAACAGTTTATAACTATTTGGTAGAGCAAGGTCAACTATCAACTTTGACATGTTTTTTGATGTTCTCACTGGGTGACTTGCACTGTCTCTCTTTGGATCTCAACATTTTCCCGCCAGATGGCCCAGACCTAGTGTTTTGGCAATAGTATGACGCGCAATAGTATGACGTCACTATTTCAACCATCAATGAATGCGTGGAACTAACTAAGACAAAGCTTAATATAGAGGAAAAAAGTTGAGAAGTGATGGAATTACCCACGATGTCGGAATATACTGCATTTACCCTTGTCACACACAGTGTTGGAATTTAGCAATTTTGCAGACTTAAATTCTAGAGGCTTTTAAATAAATATGGCTACAGTTTGTGACGTTTCATCATTGCTTTTGCTGGCGCGTAGTGTGGTGTTTTGAGAGTGACATAAACCAATCAGAACCCGAGTTGTGCATATGGTGATCTATTTATAGCCATTTATTTTTTGCTACATCCTTAAGGTGTCAGAATATGGTGTGTTTACCCTACCAATCCAATTCACCATCACTGATCAGAAATTACTCTGCACTCTGGTCTGGTCACTGCTAAACCAAATACCTACCAATATGCTTGATTTCTGTGCTCCTTATATAGGTGACAACCCCGTCAACTGTCATCTTGTCATGAATATAGTTGATCTCTGTCAAAGTTTTCATTCAAACTCCAAAGTAGGGAGTACTGAGTTGGGAGTACCAATGTATATATATATATATAGTCAGATGGGGTAAGACAGGACCGAAATCACTAACAAGCCCGTAGCATCTATACCATGAATAATTAAAAAATCCTAAACCTATCATAAGGTGTATCTATGCAATGGGCTTCTAAGCTACAACTCTGACATTTTGCATCTAACATAGTTTTCTGTACAGATTAAAAAAAGTGAGCTGGTCCTATCTTACCCCATTGGGGTAAGATGGGACCAGGCATGGGGTAAGACAGGACAAACTGGTTATTCTTATGTTACAAGGAGTTTAATAAAAGTACAAATCTGATATTCAATATTATCCATCTAGAAACACATTATTCAATTAAACAACCACTTGTTACTGTTTTGTGTTGCGGGAAGTCAACTATAATATCAGTCACATTGAAGTTTTTGTCACGAGAAAACTTTGTTAAGCATAATAAAGGTGGGTTGGCTTTGGTTCATTGTAGAGCACTGCTAAATGCGTCCTGAATATTCCATTACCTAGTGTCATTGCCTGAAAAATTTTTCACATTGGTAATAAAACCAATGGATAATAACTTGAGTGTCAGACATCATGAGTTTTCTTGCTAACTGCATTTGTGGTGCACTTCTTCAAACATAGCTCATGCCTTCTCACAGAGTTGTGATCATAATTATTTTTCATGTTTCACACAATGATTCTCCCCCCAGCCAATCTTGCACATAGTTCTGCAGGTCAATAATGGGAAGTGACATCCCTATTTTCTCCATCCCTTTGATGCAATTTAAAATAGTGCACTAAATTTCTCTAATTAAAAGAGCTAACAAGTTGAAGTTTGAGCCAAATATAAAAATTTTGACCAAAATACTCCATGTACTGACAGTGACTGCACAATAATATATTCATTTAAAAACTTTTTTTGATAAACTGTAGGGTAATAGAGGACCATTTGTGGGGTAAGACAGGACCATAAATTCAGTGCAATTAGAATGCACGCCATGGGCTGGTCCTTTCTTACCCCATGAAGGCTGCGATCCTGTCTTACCCCATTTGACTATATTATGTTTGTTCTCATGTGCAAGATGGGAATTTTCCTACTTATGAATGAAATCTTATGGCTCTGAAGTGAAAGTTTTTGATACCTTTGGATTCTTCATTCTTGCAGCCCAATCCTGCACTTTAATTAACAATTAGATAACTCTAAGTAATTCATCTTGCAGCTCTAAAAATGGCAGGAAAGCTCTGGTTGCCACTTGAAAGGTAGTAGTTAGGTATGTGTACTCACTGTATATATAATATATTCTACATCTGCTCATGCTTGCACTTTTTGGAGAGGTTCTACATCTACAGTGGCAAATAACAGGTCTCAAGTTCTCAACTGGCAGCCCACATAATATAACTTTAACCTAAATCTAGAATTTATAACACTATTACATACTATTTTCTGGTGCCTTTGTTGTTACAAATTTGTCTTATAAACATTATTTCTAGCCCTTTTTGTGGTGACTGTGTTTGCAGCTCCTGATTTCTCATCCGTAGACTGTAGTACTAGTAGTAGCCTAGGCTAGTAGGTTCTAGGTTGTGATATTTTCCAATGTTTCATTTGATCTCTATTTTCAGGATTCTCTGCAGAAATTACATTGCAAAAATTTTCTGTTTCCCCTTACTATGGGTAAAGCTGACTTGGCTGGGGAGGCGGAATCCTCTCCAGCATCTGTGTTGGATCTCACTGATGCTTTATCTTCATTGAATCTGAAGGTGAGAACATTTTGTTGTATTTTAAATTCTTGAATTAATTTGGCTTATTTCATTGACTAATAAATTTATAGGTACCTCCTTTCTGCATTTAGAAAGATTTCTCTCTTCAAATATATTCTTATATTCCAAAATTATTATTTTTTGTACAATGTTTAAGGTATGAAATTTATGATTTTTTCAAAAGTTTAATTTCAGTATACAGTGGGGGGAAATAAATATTCGTACACTTGAAAAATCGTATTTTAATGTATGTAAGTACGCAAACTTAACAGGAAAAGTGATTTAAATTATGTATAGAGACGCATAGTATTCAAAAATACTATCAAAAGAAATTAAATCTCAATGCAACAAAAAACAATGCAACATGTTCACTTTTCAGGTGAAAAAAGTATTCGTACAAAACAATAAATTTGCATTATTTTAATTTAATACTTGGTTGAATACCCTTTATTCAGCTCAACAGATACCAGTCTATTTCTATACGTCTCGACCAATGATTTGCAGATGCTGACTGGTATTTTATACCATTCTTCTTGGCACACCACCTTAAGATTCTCAATGTTTAACTTTACATTAGGCACAGTGTTCTTTGGAAGGTAGGCTTCACCGTCTTTCCTCCACACATGGTGACGATAATTTCGACCGAAAAGCTCAATTTTTGTTTCGTCCGTCCAAAGAACCTTTTCCCAAAAAGCATAGTCTTTGTCCTTATACCCCTTGACAAATTTCAGCCTGGCATCTTGATGTCGTTTCATTAGGAGTGGGGTCTTTCTTGGGGTGTGTGATTTTAATTCGTTTCTGTGAAGTTCATTGCTTATCGTTTGTTTGGTTACCTTAATTCCTGAGGCACTCAGGTGACTTTGCAACTCTCCTCGAGTAATCTGTGGATTTTCTTGGATTTTTCGTCCCAATAATCTAGCAGATCGTGCAGAAATCTTCCTAGGAGCACCTGATCACAGCTGGTTTTCAACGCTGTCACGGGTCTTGAAGCGTCCAATGAACGAAGCAACTGTACTAAAAGGAACATTCAAGTGGCTAGCAATCTTCCTATAACTTTCTCCTCCCTTCCAATGCGATAGAATTAGTTGTTTTTGGGAATTTGTTAGTTCTTTACCTTTAGCCATTTTTGAGACCTTCTTGTACTACGGGCAGTTGCAGAATGATCTGGTAGTTGCAAAATACGTTAACTATGGTTACTGATTACATTACTGGAACTTGCTACATATTTCTAGTACATTCTGGAATGTTCTGGTGTGAAATATTAGTCAAAAGTTGTTTTGTACGAATACTTTTTTGACCCGAAGAAGTTAACATGTTGCATTAATTTTTGTTGCATTGAGATTTAATTTCTATTGATGCTATTTTTGAATACAATGCGCCTCTATACATAATATAAATCACTTCTCCTGTTCATTTTGTGTACTTACATAGGTACATTAAAATACGATTTTTCAAGTGTACAAATATTATATCACATTAATAATACTGTAATTAATGAATATGGTAATATATCAATAAAGTAAAAACAAGTAAAAATCACAGAAAATGTCATTTATTTTACATCTACATCATCTACAATGAAAGAGGAGGACTTTCATTGTAGGACTGTTAGTAATAGATGAGTAGGTACACTCTGCATGCTTCAAATGTTTGAAATTGAGTTTTATTTCAAGTGTCCCTTTCTACCCTATTTCAAGATTAATTCAGGAGCCTTTTATATTGCGTCTAGCGCCTTACAAATAGCACATGGAATTTTTTTGAAGATGCTATTCAATAGCCCGTGCAAAGTGCTATAAAATGAGCCTAAACTTGTTTCTGAAGTATTTCATGGTAAGAAGTTATTAACAAAAATCGCTCAAAACTGTCCCTTTTTACCCCGTTTGATGGTATTACCTCCCCAGGGTAATATGGGACACCTCCAAAATTGCATTTACAGTAGAACCTTGGTTAATAAAAGCACCAGTTAATGAAAAATGTAATTAGGAGTTTATTTCATACTCCATAGTAGTGTGAGTATGTAACTGGCTCCTCAGAATAAAACATGGATGATGGAATTATGCCAGTTAAGAAATTGCCACTGCATAATTTTCTTTAAGGAAATTTCTTATTCTATATATTCAAGAGTTCCAAGTGCACAAGTTCAACAGAGGAATGCTAATTAATAAAATTTTTGCTGGAATGTAAGAATTTTTCTTCTCTGGTTTGGCTACTGAATGTATTTTATTTATGACCTTTTCTGATGTTTTCAGAAAGATGAAACTGTCTCTGGTGAAAGGAAGCAATTTTCTTCTGATTCTTCATCTAAGGATTCTGGGCAAGAGTCAGGCTCTGACAGTGATGAAGCTGAAACAATTACCAAGTCTGAAACATTTACCAAGGCTCTTACTACAGAACCTGAGAAAAAAGAATTTGAAGCATCTCAGGGTAATTTCAAGCTACCTGTTGATGATGGTGTAGAAAGTGATGAAGACAATGAGAATGTGGTGTTGGAGGACGATTTGCAGCCTAAAGTGGAAAAAGCTGTCAAGGGTAATATTGCCTCTGAGAACCTGGAGGAAGATCAGTACCAAGAGCGAGGTCCTTGCAAAGTGTCTCGTTCTTTCTATTCTGGGTCACGGTACAACCCTATGGTGGGTAATCAGCATTAAGAGTTGTTTCAAAACTGATGCCTTTTAAGCTTATACATTCAAATTTATATCAGAAATTATGTAAGTTTTAAAGAAAGTATTTGCAATCTTCATGTCTTGACTAATTTGATTTATTCTAATATCTTCTCTGGTTTGCTGTATGCACTTTTTCTTGCTGTTTCCTTTAAAGCTAATTATTTTATGAAAGATTTCTTATGACCTTTTTTTCCCTGCTTCATTTGATGATGTAGACCTGGTCCAGGTTAGTTTTTATTCTATTAGTTTTGATGCATTGTGTTTCTGAGTCACTAAATTTGAAAAAGATGAAAATATACCTACATCTCAAATTATGATTCTTGCTAGTAAATTTTTTAAATTAAAACTTTTGAAAAGTGTAAAATGACTTGTGTTCATTACCATGAGGTAGGTAGGTATGTTATTCAAATAGTTTGCTCTGCTTGTATTGATGTTTGTTTCTCCCTAGTCCGCAAGTCTAAATTTTCCTACATGCCTGCCACAGTTTTTAAGGTTCAGACTCTTTAAATCATTACTTTTCAACTTTGATAAATCATGGTTTATTCTGATTTCCTGGTGTCTGGAAAGGTTGCACTATCCTTCTACTGTACAGAGGTTTTGATAATTTTATTTATGCTTAAATCTCCCAAATTTACAATTCTCCGTTGAAATTATGGTGGGATATTTGTTGGACTATCAAGGAGGTATTTATTCTCTTTGGTCAATTAATAAACCTTATTTAAAATAACTTTTATTTCACTTGATATAAAGGAAATCTTTCAACTGAATCTTCTCTTGCTAATATTGGTAACTTATAAAGCTGTCAGAATTGGTGGGTAAAGGTGACCCAAGCTTGGCGTCTTTCCGCTGTGATGACACAACCGTCTACCAGCCCCTCACTCCTCCTTACTGCCAGGGCATCACTCTTCAGGTATCCTCTTGCTCTTTACTTCAAAGCTCTTTACTTTCAATGCTAATTTGTTTAACCTGCTATTATCCATTGTAAGTTTATGGTCTCTATCACTCCTCTTTCGTGTCAAATCAGAATTATTTTATCCTTCCAAGCTCTTTCACCTCTGTACCAACAGATTTCATCATGAGTGCAGCAATTTATTTTTGAATGTACTCAATTGCAATGTTCAACTTGAAACAATGTGATAGCAAGAGTAGTATGAACAAGGTGATCTTGTACAACCCAAATATATCAATGAGTTATTGGTTTTATAGTATGAATAGTATTTCAGTGAAATGCAGGGGCCATACTTTCAAAACTTTCTAAGTGAACGTAAGTACTTACGCTCTATTTTCTTGTCTATGATTGGTGGATTTTGCTTGATCAATGATTGGCTGATAAGCTTACGATCTCTTAACTTTTTTTGAAAGTATAGGCCCTGGTTTCAATGAACTTCTTTCATATAAGTTTCAATGCCACTATCCTGATATCCTTATCAGGATGAACTTGCCTTCGACTCATCGCCGCTGAACTTCAATGATATGGTTGTGCCTGACTTGTCTGACTTGACGCCAACCCAAGAAACTAACCTCAACAGCAGCCCCCTTTATGCTGGATACAGCAGCCCTGCCCCTGCTGCTGGTGGTTACAACAGTCCATCGGCTGCTGACTATAACAGCCCTGCTGCTGCTGGCTATAACAACCCTGCTGCTGCCGGCTATAACAACCCTGCTGCTGCTAATTACAACAGCCCTATAGGAGTTGGCAACAACAGGTCCCTCACGGCTGACTACAATGACTCCTCTCCTCCACAAAACCAGATGAATTACGGCTATGGGTCAGGCCCGATTATTATTCCTTTAGGGTGAATTTGATGAGTTGTTTCTTATTAGATGGAATAGAAAAATTAGAAATTGTATCTTATTAGCTGCCCAGTACACAAAATTGAAATATTGGATATTCAAACATTAGGTATTACTGTTCTGCTTATTAATCCGAATATATGGTAGGTTTTCATTTTATCTAAGTAGGTTCTAAGTTCATTAAATATTCTATGCTAGTAATTATAGAGACAGATGATATGAATCCAGCTACTATTTTTATCTGCTAACCATAAAAAATTGATATGATAAAACAATTGTTTGTACCTGCTTCACTACCAACCCGTCCATGTCAGGCCTAGCAGCAATGGTCCATCAGACGTTCAGACCCACTTACCCAACTGGACATACAACTCTGAGTGCTACTCGGGCGACGACAGCCTCAATCCGCTCTCTTTCTGTCCGGACCTCTCGACCAATTTCCTGGAAGCTATTGAAGCCGTCAGTATTTAATTAAACATTCATGGTACATTTCGTATTCTTCATTAATTCTTGGTGTGTGAATTCGATTTATCAACTCCTTACTATACAATACCTTGTAGAATAATACTAGCTTGTACAATAGCAAGCATGGCCCATAGTAAGTGGCATGAAGCCGGTGGAGTTTATTTTAACAATTAAGTCAAATGTTTAATTCAATCTTTACAAAAGAACTTGGTGTGAAACATACCGTAGATGATAATGACACCGCATTTCACTCTCTATCTAGTGTTATGATCAAAGTTTAAATGAATAACATCAATCTGATCATCTGATGTTATCAATAATTTAACCAAAAGATTATGTTCTCCATAAATTATTTTCTATTATAAATTTCTGTTAATTTATTGAGACCATGCTGTAGATACAGCGGTCTTCCATCATTTGAGTTCCTAATCAATTTTGGTTTTATTTACCGACATATTAATTAATCCCGGAATGAGGAGAATGACGCTGCCTTGTTTGCACAGGCCGTGGCCCGTACCGTTGACCTGAGCCTGGGCTTGCCCGGCAGCGTGGGTCTGGAAGACGAGCTGCAGGACGAGGCGAGCAACGAGAACATCAGGAACATCATTGACAGCCTGCGCAGCATCGACCCTAACGAACTGGACTACATTGCACCCGCCAGCCCTGTCGCCGCCCACGATGATCTCGAGCAGGTGCGTCTGTGTTGCGGGAGCTGCTCATGAGATGTTATGCCAGATGTCGAGTGTCGTGTGGGATTTATTTACATTGCCCACGGAAATTTTTTTCGTAAGGAATGAAGATTATTTATAATGAATAAAAAATTAGATTATAATTTTTTACATCAACCTGTATGAATGTAAAGGATGGCGATTATTACTGTCCAAATTGGCACCAGATGTTAACAAAACTACGTGTTGAATTTGTTACTGCCTTGAATAAAGGTTATCAAAACATAGCCACCAACTCATCGTTCCTAACTTCGACCAGGAGCTGGCGCTGTCATCAGAGCCCTGGCCCGAGAATGAAGCCCTGCTGTCACCATCGCCACCCCTCACCCCCTCCTCCCCCTCCCTACCATCCACCCCCTTCTCCCCCAGCCTCTCGCCCCCCACGTCTCCAGACTGCGGGGATCAGGAGAGTCGTTCCTCCATCAGCTTCAAGGTTAACTCTTATCTCTGCATTTCTTACTTACGCGCAACTTATTTAACCATTTTTATAGCTCAACACTTAATAATCAATTACCTATATATTATGGAGCTGCTTGGTTTTAATTTTAGTTCCATTTCCATCTGTGTGCTTTTTTCATTACCTTCAACGACCGCAAGGTATTTGTGTAGTTTTGTTTTCATTTATTATTCCTGAGCCATTTTATGGCAAGCATAAAAACATACATAAATTTTAATTTATGAAACCTGTACAAAAAAGTATGAAAAATTATGAAACATATTTAGTTGAACCATGTGTATTTTTCGAAATTTTGTGCATTGAAAGAGTTATTCGCAGCTGAATAATGTATTAAATACGTCCATTACACTGGAGAAATTTATAAGAATTAAAATAAACATTTCAATGTAAAAATAACTATTTATCTTCAATTTAATTCTGTTTCGTCAAGTGAATAGTTCATTGAAAGTATATTGCTACTTTCGTCTATTAAGGAACTGTGATTAAGGCATCAGTTTATCAAAATTTCCATTTACATGCTCATATTTTAATTTTGAACATTGTAAGAAAATGCTGCTATGCATAAATCAACGGTCAGATAATTGATGAGCGGGAGAGGCATAATAACTAAGCCTCAAACACAAAACGTGGCCGCGGTGGGTACTTTCGGAAGCAGATTTGTAGAGACCATTTTGGTTTTTACCCACAAAAGGGTAAGCCGAGCATGCGTTGTGACCCTATCGGGACCTGGAAGATAACTTGTCCCAGATCGGAATATGTATGACTTCAAATACGACTTGAATCTAATTAGTAATCTATCGAGTTCATTTAGTAACATATTTTTTCATTTTCATATATAATATTTTCATGCAAATTATACACGTTTTATTGATTTGACCTTGCTCCAAAATGTTCTCTTCATTAAATACCATCAATCCAAGATCATAATCAGAATGCTTGTATTGTGATGCCACTCGAGCTGACCACTCATTTGTGTGGTGCAGGAGCTGACGCTGAGCTGCAAGGCTGCCGTGGCTGCTGTAAGGGAGGTTTGCAACCCAGACGTCATCCTCAGCGCTGCCAAGTCTGTGTCGTACTTTTAGTCGTAATAATTTAGTTTATTCAAGGTATTTCTGATTTATGAAGGTTGCCTTCAAATTTTATTCGTGGATTACTTAATCGTAATAGATTTATTGGGGCGGAAATTTTTCAAATCTTTGCCACCTGGGCATTTGGAATTGAAATTCTCCATGTTACTGATAAACGTTGAATCAGGAGATTTCTGTAAACTTTTACTGTTTGGTCATTTGCTAGTTATGGAAAGTGAAGGTATCATCCATTTGATTTGTAATGTAATATTTCACGAGTCTAGCACATTTTGTTATCGTTAATCTTCGTGAACCATGATTCATCACACATGTATAATGTACCTATGTTTCATCACACATGTATAGGTAATGTATGTTTCATCACACCTTAGTTCAATATTTTCCTCGATTATCTTTCTCCCAGTGCTACAATTCAAAAGTAAATATATGTATACATAATAAGAGTCTGGTCTTGACTTTTAAGGTAGTTCAGTGAAGCTGTGACTTTATTACGTTGTTTGTTTCAGGCGTGTGGCGTGTCAAGATACTGAGGATATTTGTCGCAAAGATCGAGATGGCGACACGTGAGTTTCAAACTTTTTATTTAATATTCGGTAAATTCAGAGTTTTCTCCGACTAAATACATCCCGTCGTGTATAGCCTTGCTTATGAATTAAATTTAAATTTTATCGAATTTTGGTTTTGTAGAAGCTTGTGTCTTCGTACCGTAAATATTTCTCCCTCAGCGCTGTCCAAAGAACTGGACTATTGTATTGCCTGTCAACTTTACCTACGTTTTGTTCAAAATGAAGGATCGGTAAAGCAAATGATTTCATGCCTCTGTCAGAACTGATACATGTATACAACATTGGTAATGTCTCTTCAGGTGTATCATGATCGTGGTGTGCAAGCCGTGTGACAGTAAGCATTTCTACGAGAACCTGTTCGTGCTGCAGCAGCACCTGCAGAAGTTGCGGCTATGCTGTGACCAGATCGTAGACAGTGATCACTCTGAGTGTCCGATCTGTGGTGCTGACAAAGCCAATTGGCGCACCCTGCTCAGCGAGACGAACAATGCTGTGAGTTGCGAACAATTTTATTTCCACTATGATATTACCTTGTCACTGTATCATGAATACAATTAAACAGTGATTAATATTTTCCCTATAAATTTAGGAGTTTAATGATCAGATTTTATTCATTGTTTTACGTTTTGTGTAGCCTGATCCTACCTCGAGACTATTATGCACGACATAGTTTCATGGTAATAGCCCGCGTTTAAACGAAAAAATTCGTGTGTGAACATTTTGAGGAAGGATTTTTTCACAAAGAATAAATTAAGACTCTTAAAATATCCCTGAAGACGGTAAAAAATATTAGGTTTCTCTCGTACTTGGTTGCTAGTTCCTACTTGCACCCTCGTGGAAACGATCGTCTTTTTATCGCATTTTCTCATGGAAAAAATGCACTATTGTGCTCGCCACGTCCGTCCGTCTGTTTGTCCGTCCGTGACTTCACGTTTTCGTCGACGAGAAAATCGCTCTCTGTCAGTCACTGCAGTGAGTACTGAGTTATATTTTTTCTCTCTAGGGTGACACGGTGCTGTCGTGTGCCGTGAAGATGCGTCACCCAGAGCTGGTGATCGACTACCTCTGCGCTGGGCTGACGAGCTGCGAGGAGGATCTGAGGCGCGTCTTTGACGAAGCTGGGCGCAGGTTCTTCAGGCCTTACACTCGCATGTACCCCGGCCTCAGGAGGTCTGCTTAACTGCTTACGGTGTTATTGACTTGGCGAAATGGTGCTGTGCATTGTTTAATTCGTTTATAATCTATATATACTGGGGTTGGCTAAAATAAGGGAAACACCTGACATTTGGATATAGTAATTTTTGGACATGTTATAAACAATGAAAACGTGACATATTTTTATGTTTTATTGTTGCTGCTAATTGATATTTTATCCCTGCACAGATATTTTTAGTAAATTTTTGTGTCTATAACCTAACCTATTAATGGCAAGCCTCTCTGACTTTCAAAGTGGCCAAATCGGCAGGTGCTAGACTGCTAGTGCGACAGAAACTTCTAGAATGCTTGACAATTCTAGAGGTACTGTTTCTTAAGTAGTGACTGCTCTTGAAAGAGAAGGAAAAACGTACCCTGCAAAGCACAGGTCTGGCCGAATGTCGAAGTTGTCTGAGAGGGACCGCCGGTACGTAAATAGAATTGTGAGGGACAATCGAAAGACCACGCCTGTTGAAATTACTACAAACCTCAATGGACACCTACAGAACCCAGTTTTATAAAGACTCCACCGAGAGCTGAGCACATCTGGATTCTATGGAAGAGCTGCAATCAGAAACCTCTGGCTTTAAATACAAATGCATCAAAGTGTTTAAAGTAGTGTAAAAACTTTTAGAATTGGTCCCTCGATCAATGGAAAAATGTTATTTTCTTTGACGAATCATCGTTTACCTTATTTCCAACCTCTGGCAGAGTTAAACGTTTAGAGGCAGCCAAAGAAGTCCCCTCAATCCCGACTCGAAAATCCGGCGGACCAATGTATGATTTCTCTCCATGGAAGAATCAACATCCGTGACTATTTAGGAATTTTGCAGCACCAAGTTCATCCAATGGTTCAAGCACTATTCCCGGAGGGGAAGCCCATCTTTCATGATGATAATGCCCAATCCATACTGCTGGAATTGTTAAAAAAATGACACGAGGAACATTCTAATGAAGTTGAGCATCTCATTTGACCCCCACAATCACCAGACCAGCTGAATGTTATCGAGCATTTATGGCCGATTTTAGAGATGCAAGTCAGAAGTCGATTCCCGCCGCCATCGTCTTTAAAAGAGCTGGAGGGAGTTTCAACAGACGGAAGTTTGAGGGAGTTTCAACTTAAATTCCTTTGTAAACAATTCGCAATTTGGATGAATCAATACCTCGGAGAATTAAGGCTGTAATTGTCACAAAAGGTGGACCTACACCATACCGAAATAATATTTGTGAATTTCTCAGGTGTTTCCCTTATTTTGTCTAACCCCTGCAAATCATTTGGAAAATGGGATTCGGTTTAAGAAAAATTTTTATAGAGAACTTATTGAGTTACATAATAAGGTTGTATACCAGATTGTGTGGACAAAACGATTATCGAGTCACCAAGTGTAAAGAAAAGAAATTCTTCCCGCATGAATTTCGTAATTTCAATGCATTAACATTGATGTATTCTATTGATATTATTAACAAATCATTCTATTTTGCACACATTTAATGCATCAAGATTGCGGTACACTCGAAATTCACCTTTTGTTTCTTCCAGGTTCCTGTAAATCCGCACACACGCGCGTCACGTTCAACGAGCTGCTGCTTTGCCTTCGATCGTAACTTGACTAACGCGGCGACGTCTTGCAAGCTTCAGCTTACTGAGACTGCAGTTCAGTTTACGGGATGTACTGGACAACTGAAAAATCTGGTTTTTAATTCCATAATAATGTAGCAAAAATTCTTCCATGTTTATGACACTTTAGATATTACCAATATAAAATCATTGACCAGAATGATGTTGGGTTATGACAAGGATTAGCAACTAATCAATATGTAACTAAAACTTATTATGATATTAATCTCTACAAACCAGCTTTCCTTAGCGGTGTTAAACATACATTGTGTTATGAGTCGCCTCTTTGATTGGGGCGAGAGATTAAATTTTACTTTAGTTATTTAGATCTTAATGCACGACGACACTGGAGAGTCTTAACGGGCCTCTCTCTGGATGGTGATTATGAGAGGTTATATATGCGCACCTGGGACTCAATTAAACACAGAAAATTGATGAGGTTTGCCTGCTTGTAAGCATGTTCAGTTTATGATTACCTTATTTGGATACAAGCCTGCGTCGCTAACTGTGCTCTTATTAAGTGCCTCAGAATCCTGCTATTACATTATTTTCATTTTTACAATCTTCATATTTAATTGCATCAAATTTTTCGAGTTATATTTTCGATATAATTGTACATAATCGGTTGGAAATACTTTTGTTTTAAAATCACTTCTTCAAGTTCTTCGATAAAAGTTGTTTTTGGTTTTCTGTATCAACTTGAGTACCAAATTGTCAGCAGGACTTGACACTCACTGCACCTGATACCTAACAATTACTTGTGTAATCGCATGAATTTGAAATTTATGTCGATATCCTGGCATTTCATATCGTTGTGTTGGTTGACTTTTCTTATCAATTTGTTCAATTTCGTTGCCGGTATTGGATTTGTTCGCATATACCAATCTTTCAGGGTATAATTCAAGGTACGGTAGTTCTAATTCGCCATTATATTTAAGGCGATGTAGTTCAGTAGATACGGAAATTATTCTATTTTTATTGATATTAGTTTTCCTAATACTTATTAAATTAATGTTTGAAAATTATATTTGAGAACATTTATGGTATATAGGAGCTTCGGAAGCACAGAATAATAAATTAATGTTTGAAGATTATATTTGAGAACATTTATGATATAGAGGAGCTTCTGAAGCACCAAATTTAATTTTAATGAAAATGCTTCTAAAGCTGTATTTTTTTATATCAATGTTTAACATGAAATGTGTTGTGTTTCTTAGAATTCTAACCGAGCTTTAAATACTGTGTTGTGGTTTACGTAATTAATTCTGTGCGATTTCCTTCACGAATGCGTTTTACGTCACGAGTGAATTGGTTCGTTCAAAAATTGAAGCCCAATGTTTGCATTCATTGAGAATTTATGCACAAGATCTTTTTATCAACCATTTTCCCTCCTATGAACTATTTATCGAGATGTACTTTCAATAATGATACAAATCTGCGAGTCACGCAGATTTGTACTGGCATGCGTAATGTAGTCCATAGTGCAACGAACTGCTTCCTTTCACCTAGCCACAAGTAGATAGTCTCGTAGTTTTTCATACTGCACTAGGTTAAAAGGCCGTGTTTCTCTGAAGATATGCAAGTCAATTTAACTGTAACCGGTTTCTAGATCCCGGTTTATGGCACTATCGAGTATTGATGATTTCTTCAGGCAAGTAGCCTTCTATAACTAGAGTTTGTAATAAACTATATTCTAACACTATTGCGTCTTTTTCAAGTACTTATGTGGGTCACTTTTCAATGTTGTTTTCTTCTACAGGTATGAATCTGTCGGGAACTTTTATAGATGACAGTCACTGTATTCTGTGATCCGAGGATTTTTATTATCCCTAACTAACTAGCAACTAGCCTACCTAGGTAGAATTAGCCGGACCCCATTTGACTGACTTCTTAGGGTCTCGAACAAAGGGTGTTGAAAGGAGCCATCTCGACTATTGGTTGGTGTTACCCGTCACTATTGTTTGGTCTCACCAGCCACCACGAAAAAGTAAAAAAAAAAAAACGAAAAGTTACCTCGATGGTCCTCCTTCCATTGTGCGTCGTTCGGAAGGGATTTACCCAGAAGAAGGACTGACCCAAGTGTTTTGTAGATAAATCCTCGCATTTCGGATTGCTTTACGAGTACAGCTTGAGTGGGGAGCGTGAGCGTTGAAACCTCATAAATGTTGCACACGACAAATGGAGTGAATTTTAGGAAATGATGTCTTGCCCTGAGATATCTTGATTTAGATATCACTGATGCAGACTGAGAGCTTGTTAGCCATCGATGTAGCAGACACAGATGTCATTGCATTATAAGAGAACAGTATTCTTTTACAGAATATAGTTCAGATTGCGTCCTGGCTTATAATTAACAAAACCCCAATTCCCATGAGATGATGTTAGTACTTTTTTCTGGAAAGCATGTTCAGAGAAGTAATTCGGCTTATAACTAAAGGCACAGCAATACAAGAGGCCAAAAGTTGGCCCGTTTTAACTGCTACAGTAGAGAGCACATTTTTCATGATCTATTCACAAACCTACACGAATAAACAGTAGAAAAGTTTTTTTATTGCGGTCGATCTTTCTTAGTGGTGGTTCAAACAATGGACACTGTATGATTTTGCCCGAAATTGTTTTGGTTCTACACTAACGGGTAGATACTGGATGACTTGCATATTAGGGAATGCGATTTTCTCTTTAGGGCTTCAGTTCATTGCAGGACCACTTCGAAACACATTGATACCGTCAATGCGCAAAACTATATAAACTTTTCCAAATTCTACGTACAACTCCTAGTAAACCTATTTCATCTGTACGAAAAGATAAAATAATTGAAAGTCTTAGCGCAACTTAGCTCTGGGTCTCCTTACATCTCGCATCGTAACCGCTCGAACTTAGCTGTACAGTAGTTGAACAACACTACTACGTCCCAAGTCCCAACAACGCGCGACCTCCTCTCCTATGCAAGCAAATGGTACGGGTCTGTGTGTGTCCACTTTCACTGTACGCCAGATGTGCCCATGCCTGTTTATCCTCTCTAGTCTGTCTGTATTTATGCAGTTCGTTAAAATTCGCTAGGAATATGTACAAAAATTTGTAGTCCCGAATCTTATTCAACCAAGTGACAAACAGAAACGGTACATAGACGGCTCAACGGACGACGGTCAAGTCTTTGCATTTCTGCATGCGGTATCGCAGAGACTTCGAAGAAATTTCAGGGGGACTCACTAACTTTAATTAACATAACATAACATAGTGATGTCGGCTCTGAAGTGTAGGCCTGATGTGGCCTGTCGCCGATTCTTTTCCATTTCGTGCCTTGTTCATAGATCTAAACTCGTGTCATTTGACCGGATCTTTTCATGACTGGCGATAGTTTGAAGAAGCTACTAGACTTCCACCGGGTTCGATAAGGAGC